AACAAAATTTCACTAAGCAAAAGGATACAAATTGAACAGCGGTTGTTATATTGCATATTATCTTTATATTAGTTGTTCAGAGCATACAAAATTGATCCAAAAAAAAGTTGGTCAAAAAAAAACATTATTTTAAGTTAAGCATTTAACTGTTCTTTTCAATAGACCAGTAAAAATCAACAGTCCTTTTTTCCTTTCCCTCATCCCAGTTTCCTTCTCACAGCATCTATTGTACTTCTGGGATTTTATTTACTCTTCCAGGTTCTTAACACTACGGAGACAACACGGTGTTCGTGAATGCTGTTCTGATTTATTTCACTTACGCGTATAGTCTCTAATTGCATCCATTTACTTATCAAAGCCTCGAGTTTATCCTTCTTTATAGCTGAGTAATACTCCATTGTTTAAAAACACACATCTTTTCATCCATTCCTCGGTTGATGGGCATTTGGGTTGTTCCCAAAATTTAACTCCGACCATTTTTGTGCTATAACATGGGTGCACACACATCGCTGTGGTGTGGTGTTTTCAGTTCTGGATAAATACCCAGAAGGGGAATAGCTGGACCAAACCGGACCTCCAATCCCAGCGTTTTGGAATCTCCACACTAATCCAACAATCAGCTTGCTGGGCGGCCCGGCTACTTCTCCATTGAAAGAGCTGGTCTGAGGCCAGTCTCCGGGAGCCAGGTCTGAGAAAGCCACCCCACAAGGGAACTGTACCGCCAAGCTCTTTTCATTTTTTAATCTTTTATTTATTGATTTGGTACATGGTCTCACTACACAGCTCAGACTCATAGCGATCCTGCTGTCTAAGCTTCCCCAGTGCTGGGATTACAGTCCTGTACCACCATGCCCAGTTTACTCCTGGTTTCATTGGCCAGCTCAGCTTGGGTCCAGCGTGGCTTGCAGTACCGGGGATCAAACCCAGATCCCTGCTCTTACCAGGTAGGTGTTTAAACTGCCGAGCTACCGTCCCTGGCTCCTTTTTTTCTTTCTTTAGAGTAGGAACAATTTCTGTCTAAGAGGCACAGAAAGAAAGCTTCTGTCTAAGAGGCACAGAAGGGGGCCTGGAAAGTGAGTTGCCCATCAACCCTACTTTCTCAAGAGTGTTTATTCAGCAAAGCCATAAGGCGAGGTTGGCTTAAGGTGGAATTAATAAGATTATAAGTATCATCCTTAGGGTAATATTGATTAAATGGGGATCAAACAGAGAAACACCATACAAGCAAGTACACTTAGGGCAGACAAGGACTTTCCTGGAAGGGGTGGGTTAGTGAGGTTTGGTCCTTTACTCCGAGGTGATTGATGCCTACTTAGAATATCAATCACTAGGACTGGGGAGATAGCTCGGTCTAAGCACCTGCCTGCCAAGCACAAGGTTCTGAGTTCAATCCCAGGTACTGCTTGCCCCTAAACTGGGCATGGTGGCACAGACCTGTAACCCCAGTGCTGGGGAGGCTGAGACAGGAGCCAGACCCTGTACCAAATAAATAAGAGATTATATAGATCACTGCTGTTCATTCTTGGGGGAAGTATATAGGTGAGTAGTTCCTCTTTTTCTTAAAGTCTGGCCTTTAATGAATGTGCCTCCAGCAACAGTTGTCTTTTGCATTGACCTCTTGAAGTCCCAGCCCTATCTGACTGCCTACAATATTTTTACCTAACTTAGCTACCTATATTTCCCACCTCTGAAGAAGTACCCCTAACTGCTGTGAGGGGTAAGAGTCAAGGACCAGTCTCCCTTCTTTCAGTTGAAGGCAGTCATAGTTGCAATCAGCAATCAGAGATAGTCCACAGATGGTCCATCTAAAGCCCCTCGATAGGTGCCAGGTGTTCTTGTCTTGGGTAGACATACATCTTTTAAGTCTGGAGGAAATAAGGCCACAGAAACAACTAAGTATACATGGGGGCCGAAGAGATAACAAGATGGCTCAGTGGACTAAGCTCTTGCTTCGGCAAGCACAAGGACAGGGGTTCAATCCCTGGTGCCATATGCCACTCCAGCCCTGACCCTGGGCGTGCTGAGCCTGCCTATATATATATATGAGTATACATGGGCCAAATAAAATCAACAGGATAATTATGAATATATCCAACAAAGCTTTCTATCAGGAGCCAATAACAACTTTCCATAAAAAGGATAAGGTCCAAGAAACTTAAGAATCTGATATGTCATTAACCTGTCATCTAGTATCTTGAACAATTATTGAGATATTAGCAGAAGGATCAGGAATGTACACCCAACATTCAGCTTTTATAATTGCACAAGTACCCCCTTGTGCAGCTGTTAGAAAACTAATGCCATCTAGTTGTGGAAGGATTTTTTTTCTGTTAGCTCAGGCTGCCTTAAGGGCAGGTCTGGTGCGGCTTGTGGAGCTGGGGATTGAACTGCGGTCCCCTCCACCTGCCTGAGTTTGCCCAAACAGGTGCTTTAAACAGCTGGGCTAACCCACAAGCCCCCGCCATCCAGTTTTGGTAGACAGCTTGCCTCATTAATTTTACTTCTTCATTTAGGAGATAGACCAGTGGCAATGTCATTTAAGGCCCACTGAGTATAGTTAGTCAAAGTCTTGATGTATTGCTTGACATCCTCTAATCCTAGGGAAGAGATAAAGATAGAAACTAACTGATCATATCAGTGAAACAGACTTCTAGGCCATTGATGCCAAAGGTGGGGCAAATTTGCAGGTTTATCAATACTTTTGATACTTCTCCCTTGTAACCATGCAGATCCTAGTGTGCATCTTCCTATCCATCCACAGGGTATCCAGGATGACCAATTTGTGCCATTGGATAGGGCTTCCCATCTTTTTTTTGGTGGGGGTACCTGGGAATCAATTTTGGGACCTTTCACTTGTCAGGCAGGTATTTATTCCACTGAGCTATATCCCCAGCTCTGCCTATCTAATTCCAGGACAATTAAACTAGTCTTCAAAGTTATTGCATTGTTGGAGGAGGGGTTGATCCATTCCAAGTATTTAGTAGAGTTAGGCCAATGAAAATAGGAGTGATTTTTCTATTCCCAATATAAGGGGATCTCTCTACTAAGATGTCCTGAAGTGGGGGTTAACCATATATAATCATATCTGAAAATGTCCATCTTGATATCTATAGTTGTTGGCCCACAGGATAGGAACCTTACTCTTATTTAATAGGTGTCCTTCCGGAGCCTTTAAAGAGGGTTCAGTGGCATTGTTAGAAAAAATTCTATTATGTCCAGGATTGTTAAGAGTATAGTTTTTTTTTT